GACCCTCCGACAGTGCGGCGCTCCCTCAGCACTGACCCTCCAATGTATGCTGGCTGCTCAGATGGGCAAACTGTGGCAAATGGGATTTAATCCTGAAGGTCAGAACATGGAATATAGAAGTTGGGATGCCATATTGTAGCTGTATGGGATTCAACTGGAGATCTGACGAAGGGTCACTCATCTGAAAGGTTAACTCTGATTTCTCTCCACAGATGAAGCCAGACCTGCTGACCTTTTCCAGCAGTTTCTGTATCTTCCTGATCTTCAGCCTTCTTTCTTGTCTCTTTATTTGTGTGCCCTCTCTCACGAGCTTGTCTTTAATTCCAGGATTTTGTCATTTATGTGCTGAATGGAAGCAGTCACGTGTTTGGTCGCTACTTGGATGAGTCAAGAGGTGAGGAGGAGCAGCTGAAGGTGGACATCCAGCTGTTAGCCCCAGATATCTGCCTGCGACATTGCAGTGTGCGGCGCCAGGAGGTGAGCTCCAGTGGAGAGAGTGGTGATGGCCTGGAGCTGGTGACACTGGTCAAACCGGGCAAAGGAGCAGTGGTCACTCACAATGGGCTCCCTCTCAGCACAGAGAGCCAGCTGCAGCCGGGTGATCTGTTGGGCATGGGAGCCCACTACCTTTTCATGTACAAAGATCCGACCCTCAGCAAACTTCCTATCAGCCAGAAACCGGTGTGGTACCCATCGCCAGTGCTGGACCTGAGCCCAGGCGGGGAGCTCACCTGTAGGATGTGTGGCTGCATTGTTCAAGAGAATCAACAACAGGATCTAATTCCTTCAGCAGAGAAACCAGCTCCCGGGCTGAAAGACTCGAAGGGCACAGACTATGTCTTCATGTACAATCTCTCGCAGGAAGATGCACTTCTGAAATGGATTATCAATAGCCCATGTGAGGACAATGTGCACTCCAAACTGACTGCAGCCTTCCTGCTATGTCTCTGTATCCAGCACTCAGCCAGCTCCTTCCAGCCTGCAGACTTCCGCACGCTGCTGCTCAGGATAGCAAGCCAGATCCAAACGGTGATGTGGGTCAGTATTGGAGGTCATCGTTCTGTTCGGTTTCCAAAAGATACCCCACATCACCCAGTGAACCACAACTGATATACCCCACACCCCTCACTGTAACACTCTGATATACCCCACA